TAATCTGTAAATCACATAAATGATGACCCTAAGAGTCAATACATATATGTAGAAATCATTACAGATGGAAAATTAATATTATCAATAATCAGGAGAAGATGAATAGATATTATGGGAAGCTATGGTTTAAAAAAGCACTATGTGGTCTAATTCTTAAAGTGTCAATTATTAGGATGACTCTCCAAAACAGCCACCAGTCACGTGATAAGTGAATAAATTATCAACTATTTACAATAGAAAAAAAGGAGAAAATTGGAGGTAATAGTACTAAATGGTTAAAAAAATGGGGAATCACTTTGATGGTATGGAAAATAAAGAAATGTATGGAATAAAACGTCACTTTTAATCTTGTAGCTAAAAACCCTTAAATATAAGGGCTATATATATATATATATATATATATATATATATATATTGAACACACTGACACACAAACACTAAATAAAGAAAATTAAGGTGAATAACATAAAATCAAATTGTGTAAATTGCAATGTCCAGAGATCGTCTTATAGCAGGACTTAACAATATTGTTTGCAGTTTAATACTGAAAAGTAAGACTGGAATACAATTGTTATATAAATTCTTCAATGTAAGATGTTACTCCACTGGGAGAGCCACCATCCATCCAATCAAAAAGCTGGAATACCGTACGGCCAATACTTAAGAGCAAGGAGAAATTGCTCTGATGACAAGTCATTCTATAGAGAAGCAAGAGAATTGCGAAAACGGTTTAAATCCCAGGGCTACCCTAAAAGAGGAACATAGAAACGTAGAATGTGACGGCAGATAAGAACCATTCAGCCCATCTAGTCTGCCCAGTTTTCTAAGTACTTTCATTAGTCCCTAGCCTTATCTTATAGTTAGGATAGCCTTATGCCTATCCCACGCATGCTTAAACTCCTTTACTGTGTTAACCTCTACCACTTCAGCTGGAAGGCTATTCCATGCATCCACTACCCTCTCAGTAAAGTTATACTTCCTGATATTATTTTTAAACCTTTGTCCCTCTAATTTAAGACTATGTCCTCTTGTTGAGGTAGTTTTTCTTCTTTTAAATATAGTCTCCTCCTTAACTGTGTTGATTCCCTTTATATAATTAAATGTTTCTATCATATCCCCCCTGTCTCGTCTTTCCTCCAAGCTATACATGTTAAGACTCTTTAACCTTTCCTGATAAGTTTTATCCCGCAATCCATGAACCAGTTTAGTAGCCCTTCTCTGAACCCTCTCTAAGGTATCAATATCCTTCTGAAGATACGGTCTCCAGTACTGTGTACAATACTCCAAGTGAGGTCTCACCAGTGTTCTGTACAATGGCATGAGCACTTCCCTCTTTCTACTGCTAATACCTCTCCCTATACAACCAAGCATTCTGCTAGCATTTCCTGCTGCTCTATTACATTGTCTGCCTACCTTTAAGTCATCAGAAATAATCACCCCTAAATCCCTTTCCTCATATGTTGAGGTTAGGACTCTATCAAATATTCTGTACTCTGCCCTTGGGTTTTTACGTCCAAGATGCATTATCTTGCACTTATCCACATTAAATGTCAGTTGCCACAATTCTGACCATTTTTCTAGTTTACCTAAATCATTTGCCATTTGGCTTATCCCTCCTGGAACATCAACCCTGTTACATATCTTAGTATCATCAGCAAAAAGACATACCTTACCATCAAGACCTTCTGCAATATCACTGTTGGGGATAAAATCAGCCCGGGCCCTTTGTGGATGATGGATATTTGCCAACTCATACAGAGCTCTGGAAATTGGAAATGAATAGCAGAGACATGTTCAATAACCAATTCAAATTGTATTCATACGTCAGTTATATTTATACCCCATTTTCATAGCAGGATGGGAGGGGGGAAAATGAGCATATGGGCGTGACAATGACATTGTTTTTCACAAGTTATAAACAGCTGTTTTTGTTATAATTCGATGTTACATAATGTATGCATATTGGATAAAACCCAGATGATTACAAATACCAAAATCTTGGACAATTAACAAGGTCATTCCAGAATCCTTATCATGTCATGTCATGTAGATATCCAAAATCATGTTCCAATAACATTTCCCGTAAATAGATAAGTTTTATTTCCGAGAATTGGAGATACAATTCCAAATTTATTCTTGGGTCAAATTAACCCTTATATGAACAGCTAGGATATTGAGCATAATGGATATTCGCATCTACAATTCCCCTCTTAGATCATATCATGATCTACCTTACGGAATATCCATGGGAGGCCTGCGGCAGAGAAACCAAAGGAGGTATATTCAAACGTGCTAATCACGTCTGCGGGACTTTCTTTATTTCTTCACCTCGATTTCCCCCATTTGCTCTGTGCCGTAGGTTTTCCCTTTAAGAGAAGATTGAGCTGTCGATTTTCAGCTTCTGTAATCATCTGTTGTACACATCTTTTAAGTGTACAAGTTAAATATTTCAAACAGCTGACATTTTAACCAATTTTAAACAGACTGCACATCATGTTATCTGTAACTTGAGCCTTGGATCAAAACAGGCAAAGTGTATTATTCCCAACAACGGGAATATTATTATTATTATAATTCACAACGTAAACACATATAATCAAAAATGGGAATAAAATCTATTTCCCCTCTTTGCACCAGGGTCTTGGATTACCAGTCCACCCAGTGAACTTGGGCCAGGTCAAAAAACCCAGTGGCAAAAACTCATAATTGAGGAAAAAAGCACATCTGGGGAAACTCTAAGTGAGGGCCATGACTGTGTAGACATGTCATCCCCTCACGTTAACAGCATTAGTGACGTATAAAACCTGCACTTGTAAGTAAATAGCTCGGGTATCGGGATTGGGAAACACTTCTTGATTAGTTTGAAAAGGCCCACTTACATATTAAATCATGAGATCATTTCTAATCAGTTTGCAATTCTAGCAATAATCCCAATCATGACCTTGCGTCCTATGCCTCCTAATCAAATCCCTATTTCGATGGCCCAGTCATATCCACACTTAATACATGGGAATCCATCCTTGGTACACTCAACATACATCAATGACACACATAGTACATCCATGCCTGAGTAAGCTAACACTTCCTCTCTCTCCGGCTAACTCTACAAAAATAAAAATAACAAAATAGTTCAATAGTCCAGCATAGTCCAGAAAAATATTATAAGTCTTTCAAGGAGTATAAAGAATCTTAGACACCATAAACTTTGTTCCATAATCTTAGACACCATAACATAGCTAAGTGTAGCAATATGGCTGACAACAAGACAATGTCAGCTTCCACATAGTTCTTAATTCTTCTGTTTGCTGGATGTTCACCACAATACTCTGTGCAACACCCCAATTGTTGAAAGGGTAATACAGAAATAGTGGCATTAGACAGCACTGCATCTTCAGGACTTTCAAAGTTAGTTTATGCCCTCATAAGTAAGCATCTCAGTTTCTTCGGCCAGCATGGTTTTTTTGACCAAACAGATTTAATTGCAAAAAAGGTAAGTAGGCAGGTAGGTCAGCCAGAGAGATTGGTGTGCAGTCCCAAATATCAGGCAGCACAAATACTCCAGTACGGTCTCTATAATCATACAAACACAAGGATCAGTATGACATCAATAAATTAATTATCTAGACTAAACTCAAATTAGAAACTAAAGTTAAACTCTTAACTAGTGTAACATGTACTTCTCTTAGTTTTGCTTATAATTCATTGAATTTGTCCTTTATAAAATTTTAATACATAATTTCCCTTTAGAATGCCTTTGTATGGATGAGAGAAGCACTCATTCTATATAAATGCTTGTTGAGTACTAAAACAATAACATATACATATTGGTATAATTCCTAATAAAATGCTGTTCTTAAATTTAAACCTTGATTTGATAATCTCAATTAATTACTTTAATAAAATTGAAATGCTGAAGTCTGTCAGTTTTGTGGACCTTGATAACATCTTTGGAAACCGAAACCTTTTATAGATCCTGATGTCCAAAAAGCCACCAGTTCTGTAGGTGTGTGATCATGTTTTAATACATGTTGGAACCTCCATACAGTTATCCCACTTAAACAATATATATATTTCAGAACAACTAGAGACACAAAATGAATTACTATTGTTCTAAAGTGCTTTGTTTAATACAGGTTTCAGAAGAGTTGTCTTGCTGTGTTGCAAGTGGCCTCTGATAAGGAAGGGACAGCAAACTGTATACATATGTTATATTAAAAGTTGCCCTCACTTGTCAGGTCTTGGAAACCCACTTATTTTATTGCAGATGCCTCTATTATACCACTTTACAAATTGACTAAGCATACTTATTATCCTATTTTATTTTAGTTATTTCACATTGCACAGCCTATGCAAACAATGTCTAGGTCCCATCTTCAGCTTGTACATCCTCTAAGAGCCAGCATTAATACTGTTTTATCTATTCAAAACTATATATAAAGTATTAAAAACATGAACCATCTGTGTATTAGGCTGAGGTTGTTGGGTGTGGGTATAGCTTGAAAGTTGTGGTTGGTATTGAGGAACTTGCCAGGGTGGGAGTCCTTGAATGCCAGCTGGGCCAGGTTGACCAGGAGAACCGGGTTCACAACAAGCACCTTGGGTGAATCCCTGCTATCCATAATTAAAACAGTGCTGAAGTTACCACCTCTACAAAAGTTAGATCCTTTGATCAAATTCTCTACCTCTGCTTCTAAAACTTTTCTGATTCAATCTCCTATCACCTCCAAAATTTATTTGTCTCGCCTGCTTAAGATCACAATCCTTTTGTGACTGATACAACATACTTTTCCCTCTTTCTTTATATCAAAACAACCTGCTGTATCTTTCTCATGTATCTTCCCAAAAAATTCAGTTGGGGTCAAAGAGGGCCAGTCACAGACCAACAGTTTGACCAAAAGTGAACAAGGAGGAAGCATATTCCATATGAAGGTCGAGATGACCTAACTCACACCCCCTCTTTGTGTACACCTCCTTGTGTACCACACAGATATAATATTAATAAGATTTATTGTGCATGTATAGCACGGTCGTCTAGGGGTGTATACATAAACAGTGAAAGCAGAGTCTTCATATAGGGTTTGCAATACTGACAGTCTGGGTCATAGGTGTAATACAGACATGCGGTTAGGAACTTTTCCATTGTCAGAATACATTGAAAGCACTAATATATTGCAAATATTAAAATCATATTGCAGCTGTTTCCTATACCTGCAAGGATATGGTTGTAATACTTCAATTGAGTTCAAATTGAGTATCAAAAAATTCTAACCACAAAAACTAAATTTTATATGCTTATCAAAATGAGTTTAACCCCTTAGCAATTTAATAGGTTGACCTCTTCCCATAGTATGGTTCCTTTTATAATTATTATATTATTTATTCTCTTCTGGGTCAGCAAAATGCTTTCAATATACCAATACAAATATAATACAGTAGTTTAGAATTGCCTCAAAAGAAATTATCTGATCTTTATTAAAAAATACCATTTCATCATTTTCCTATAATCAATGAGGCATACTAGATGAATCTTAATCTTGGAAAAAACCTATCCTATACATCCATAATTTTTTTTTTCTTGTTATATAACCATATAACATAACAATTGTTTATGTTAAAGATAACAAATTTTTCTTTTTCTTAAATAATGCAATGCACTTTAAAAGTAGAGTTAACTCTAAATACTCCCCTAATAATACTGAAACGTGGATCCACGATTTTGAAAAGCAAATGATATATTTTTTCTTTTTCTTTCCCAGGGGCCCCTTTCTTGTTGGCTGATCAGCGTTTTTTTAATCTGTTGTAAAAAGACACTAAAGGCTTGCGTTAATGACATGCAAATATTCTTTAAATATTCTTCATACTCATTGTAATATCACACATCATCTTATAGCACAGAAAACATGTAGCAGATATCCAGCAGACATGCCAATACAAAAAGCATATTCATGGACAGGTAATTAATTCAATCCAAAATAAATTAATAAATGTCACACTATGTGACAGACATAATTTGGTTCCCATGTTTGTACATTATGCATGTCTGCAAACTATGCAAGCAGTACTACTTTAAGATTAGATCAGAGCACCTGGCAACTGGACAGGAAAGTCAAATTTTGGCAGGAAGTCCATTATTGCAACAGAATTTTGGAAATCAGCTAAAATTTACAAAAACAGACTCCCTCTTTTTTTTCTTTCTTAAGACTGCAACTCATATTGCTCTTGGACTAGTATTCAATAATAAATCAGTTATTTAATAGATTATTACGATGCCATTTTCATCTGTATCAATACTAAGACAAACTTATTCAAATATAATTTAAAATAACACAGCAAAATATCCATTAACATACATGACAATTAAAACTGCACACTTTATAATGAGTACCCAAAACACACATTCACTATCACCATTTACACAGAATAAACTTCTAACAGCTGTATTCAGAACATATTATTGTAAGGTATACCAATTTTAGTTTGTATCAGATTTATTTAAGAGTTCTGGTACCAAAGGGTTTATTTTTTATTTTTTTACAGAAGGGATCCCGTACGGCCATATAACGCGTTTGACTTATACATTTGTATAACACTTGCATTAACCAGTTGCCACATATGTACCCTGTCAATGGATTTTCTCTCTTATACGCTTCTAGAACATTTGGACCAGATTACACAGACATGGTATCACCTGCATTTGTCAGAACTCTCAAAGACTCAAAATATTTATACTACTCCATGTTAAAGGCATGGCAAAATTTTGACCAGTCAATTTGAGTTTCCAAAAGTCATATCAACACAGGTTAAAACCTTTGTCCATGGTTTTCTGATCCTACATTCCATGACCAAAATTTCAAACCCACTTCTTCACAGTTTGGGTCACAATCAATAAAATCTCAGCATCCCCATTCAACAATTTACAGAATACATACAATTTAAAGCACATACAACATGTGACATACTGGAATACTACAAGTTAGCTTACAGCACAAAAATGAAGCATGTGTTGGAACGCTGAAAATATTAATTTTGCTCTCTTCTAAATTTACAACATAAATTCTCTGCAACAAACACACAGGGCAGAAAGAATGTGGTGTTTGACGTTTTGAATGAAGTGACTTTTTGTCCCAATATGAAAATAAAGGGCTCATCATATAAACAATCATATATCCCACTCTCATGAAAAAGTGTAGTGGGCTTATAGTACTTTTGTCCAAGTATAAAAATAAAGGGCTCATTATGCAAACAAACATACATGCAGAGAAATCACGTTAGTTCTAGAATTTGTAGCCCCCCTTAAATAACCTCTAATTTTTTTTTTTTATTCATCATCACCTTTACATGTACTTTTTACATTCCCTCAATTAAGACTTTATGCTTAAAATCAGCGTTGCACATCATAAAATAGCACATAAATTAGCAAGCCGGAGTAATGCCAAACATCCATCATACCTTTTAACCCCCCTTTTTTCTTTAAAACCAATTTAGTCTGCAAAAATGACATCTATGTTAAATAAATACCACAGTCCACCAAAGACTGGAAATCTGTTTTACAACCTACCAAAGGCAACCTCTACCAAAGAGGAATCTAGGGACGTCTCCCATAAGTTAATGTACATCACAGGTACATCACAGCCTACCAAAGGCTTGAAATTCTTTTTAACACCTGGCCAAAGGTGAACCTCTTACCAAAGAGGAAATGTGCGCAAAACTACTACTGCCTACCAAAGGCGTTACTCCAACCCGTGGAGTAATAGAAGTCTACCTAAGACTTAAAATACCATGTCTACCAAAGACATTATCCTGTGTAAATCCCCTTTAAAATTTTAAATAGTGAAAAACCCCATTACAAATGCAATGTGTGGGGGATGGGAGAAGCAGGTAAAGAAGGACTTTAAAGATCCTCTTACCTGTCATCTCCGTTCCGTCCACTTGCACCCAAAAACTTCTGACACCAGTTTGTTGGGGATAAAATCAGCCCGGGCCCTTTGTGGATGATGGATATTTGCCAACTCATACAGAGCTCTGGAAATTGGAAATGAATAGCAGAGACATGTTCAATAACCAATTCAAATTGTATTCATACGTCAGTTATATTTATACCCCATTTTCATAGCAGGATGGGAGGGGGGAAAATGAGCATATGGGCGTGACAATGACATTGTTTTTCACAAGTTATAAACAGCTGTTTTTAGTTATAATTCAATGTTACATAATGTATGCATATTGGATAAAACCCAGATGATTACAAATACCAAAATCTTGGACAATTAACAAGGTCATTCCAAAATCCTTATCATGTCATGTCATGTCATGTAGATATCCAAAATCATGTTCCAATAACATTTCCCGTAAATAGATAAGTTTTATTTCCGAGAATTGGAGATACAATTCCAAATTTATTCTTGGGTCAAATTAACCCTTATATGAACAGCTAGGATATTGAGCATAATGGATATTCGCATCTACAATCACTAATAAAAATATTAAAGAGAATGGGTCCAAGTACAGATCCCTGAGGTACCCCACTGGTGACAAGTCCAAACTTCGAATATTTTCCATTAACTACAACCCTCTGTTGCCTGTCACTCAGCCACTGCCTTACCCATTCAACAATATTGGAATCCAAACTTAAAGATTGCAGTTTATTGATAAGCCTTCTATGTGCAAAAGTGTCAAAAGCCATACTGAAATCTAGGTAAGCAATGTCTACTGCACCACCCCGATCTATAATTTTAGTTACCCAATCAAAAAAATCAATAAGATTAGTTTGGCATGATCTCCCTGAAGTAAACCCATGTTGTCTCCGATCTTGAAATCCACGTGTTTTTAGATGTTCAACAATCTTATCCTTTAACATGGTTTCCATCACTTTCTCCACTACTGAAGTAAGGCTTACTGGCCTATAGTTGCGCGTCTCCTCCCTATTACCTTTCTTGTAAATGGGCACAACATTCGCTAACTTCCAATCTTCTGGGAATACTTTTCTTAACAATGATTGGTTAAATAAATCTGTTAATGGTTTTGCTAGTACACCACTAAGCTCTTTTAATAGCATTCCATCAGGTCCCATTGACTTATTTGTCTTTACTTTTGACAGTTGAAATAGAACCTCTTCCTCTGTAAACTCACGTGTAATAAATGACTAATTTATCCTTTTTCTTAACTGAAGTCCCTTTCCTTCATTTTCATCTGTAAATACAGAACAAAAATATTAATTGAGGCAGTCAGCTAGACCTTTATCCTCTTCTACATACCTTCCTTCTTTTGTTTTCAATCTAACGAATCCTTGTTTTACTTTCTTTTCTCATTTATGTATCTAAAAAATGTTTTGTCCCCCTTTTCTACTGACTGTGCTATTTCCTCTTCTGTGTGTGAGTATTAAAAAAGGCATACCAGCGGGCGTCCGCAATAGAAAGAACAACAGCTTTACGAACTACCAAACCAGAATTGACAAAACAACCTATACGTAGCATAGACTCTTTTGACCAACTTTAGGACCCTATCAAAAGAATCTGTATGGCCCATTGGCCTATTTTAAGACATGACAACAATTTAGCAAGCCATCTAACACCATGGCCAAGTATTACAGCCCGAAGGCCCAAAACTATTAAAGTCATCCTGGTACATAGCCATCTAGAACCAAAACCACCAGTAAAAACATGGCTAGCTACGACTAAAGGCACGTACAAATGTGGCCACTGTAAAGCCTGGGACTATGTGAAACCCTCTAAAACTGTGGAGTGCACTCAAACTAAACAACTATTTTGTATAAAACAATTTGTCAACTGTACGTCTACAAAGGTAATCTACGTCATCACCTGCAGTTGTGGCATTCAGTATGTGGGAAAGACATACCAACAGTTTAGAAGACTTATATTGCAGCATGTAAATACAGTCACGAACATCAATATATGTACACCAGTGACGAACCACATTAGAAAAAACCATAATAGCGATGCCTCACATTTAAAATTTCAGGCCATTGAACAAATTGCCCTAAACTCCAGAAAGGGCAACTTTAACCTCAAACTGCTGAAACAAGAATCAAGGTGGATCCACACCTTTCGAACACTGACCCCTAGGGGTCTCAATGAAGAATTTAACTTCACTCCCTTCATTCATGGCTAGAGGTTGTTTTTCGTCCTTTTCTCCTCCCTGCTTTTCGCAGCCCAGATTTGCGACATTCCATATGGGTGGCCCATTTTTGAGCATACAATTTTTTCAAGATG